ATGGAAGCTGATCAAGAAGAGAATCAACCTAGAAGTAAGGAGAAATTTTCTGACAGTGAGAACAATCAACCCATGGAACAGTTTGCCTTCAGAAGGTGTGGGAGCTTCATCACTGGAGGCTTTCAAGAAGAGACTGGACTGTCATCTGTCAGAAACGGTGTAGGGTCCCCTGCTTGGGCGGAGGTTTGGATTAAATGACCTACAAGGTCCCTTCCAACTCTATTAATTTGTATCTGTATCTAAATCCTGTTTCTTGAAAAAAAACAAAAAACAGGCATGTTCTTAGTGGCATTCAATGGGCGACTATAAAGTGGGATGGCTAAGAAGCAACTATCTGCAGGCACAGGACACACGTCTATCACAAAACCTGAAGTCATTGCACAGGTTAAGGATGGAAAACTTTAGCAGTACTGGAGTCAAGCCACTGTTTTGAAGACAAGGGGAGGGTTTTTCCCTCCCCGCTATGGCTTCTGTCTATGAGAACACCTCCCCAGCAGAGCTTGAGAGAGAAAATGTCTTGTTCTAAACAGCTGTGGATTTCTTAGCAAGGGTGCATCGGATGTGGAGTATTCCAGCTGCAGATGCCTAGAAGAGCATCGTCTCAATGTTGCTTTTTTAAAAGGCAACTGGACTTCCAAAGAAAAACAAAGTCCAGTTGCCCTTTGAAAAAAACACTTTTAGGACAACCATGACCTAGGATGACTGAGAATATCCATAGGCATCTAGAAGAGCACCCCTAGTTTTCAAAATCAGGGGAACAGGAGAAAAGAAAAACATAAGTGCAAAAAGCTACAGTCAGTAGCCACAGAGACCCTGTGGATAAGGAGAAAATGAGAATTTTTCTGACAGTGAGAACAATCAACCAATGGAACAGAAGTTGCCTTCGGAAGTTGTGGGAGCTTCATCACTGGAGGCTTTCAAGAAGAGACTGGACTGCCATCTCTCAGGAATGGTGTAGGTCCTGTAGGATGTTCTGCTTGGGTGGGGCGGGTTGGACTAGCTTACGTACAAGGTCTGTTCCAACTCTGTTATTCTGTTACCTGAGACCCCTTTTTCTTATTGTTTGGACTGAAAGTTGAGTCATGGCAACTAGATTCATTTCTTGTTGCTTTGAGACATTTTGCTGCTCATCCAAGGAACTCAACTTTCAGACAACTGTGCCTGGATGACTGACAATCTTCATCGACGTTAGAACTGTCTTGACTTTCAAGTATGCATTGTCAAATACAGAATCTGCCGGCTTGTAGAGGCTCACAGGAGTGCCTCCAGATGCCAAGATGATCGTCCCTTTGTGGAACTGGGGTCTCTCTTTAGATCAGGGTGTCTAACTCAAGGCTTAGATCTGGCCCATGGGGCCCAGAGGTGGTATTCAGCAGGTTCTGACCAGTTCTGGAGAACTGGTAGCATAAATTTTGAGCAGTTTGGAGAACCGGCAAATATCATCTCTGACTGGCCCCACCCCCTTCTATTCTGTGCCTCCCGAGTCCCAGCTGATCGGCTGGGTCTTCTTTGGTTGCCCTGCACAGGAGAATGGAGCTGGAAAGCAGGTTAGTGGGGTGGAGAGAGAATGGGATTTTGCAGTATCTTCCCCTGCCATGCCCACCAAGACATGCCATGCCCACCAAGCCGTGCCCACAGAACTGGTAGTAATTTTTTTTGAATCCCACCACTGGTGGGGCCACCCTGGAAACAGCAAAGGACTGGCCTGTGGTGCCTCTGCCAGTGGAAAATGGAGCTCATGAGCTCCATTTTTGCTGGCAGAGGGTTGCAGGAGGTGGTCGCGGCCAAAAACGAAGCCTGTGAGCCTTTTTCTCTGGCAGAGTGCTCTGGCCACCACAGGTGCCCCCGACACAAGTGATGTCGAGCTGGCCACATCCACCCTGGTCATGCTCCCCCACCTCCCCCGAGTTCAAACACAACTCTGATGTGGCTCTCAGTGAAATTGACTTTGACACCTCTGCTTTAGACCATGTGTCATTTGGAACGTGTGAATTGTGTGAATTGTCTCTTTTGTTAGCTTACTTCTGCCAAACGGCAGCCATGGGAGTTCTAAACATCTGCATTTGTGTATCAGAATGTACCTCTGACTCATTCGTTGTAAGTATATTTTAAAAATGTAAATGTGCATCATGTGTGTACAACTAATGAACCATGGATTAATGAATTAGATTGTGTTTATAGGCAATTTGAATTTGTCTGAAGGATCATGACATCAGCTAAGAGGACACTAAGCAAATGTGGGTTTAATCAGCAATGGTCTTTCAAGTGTTGAGCCAAATAATGGTTTTATTTAGTCATGGTTTGTTGAACAAGTCAACATTTGATGGTGACTTAAAACAAACATAATAAAAGCAGTGGGGACAGCTAACTTGTTTTGTGCAAATTCAAGGAGATTAGGGGACTGGAGATTAAAACTTATGAAGAATGGTTATAGTAACTGGGCATGGCTAGTCTAGTGAAGAGAATGACTAGGGGAGACATGATAGCAGCCTTCCAATATTTGAAGGGCTGCCACAGAGAGGAAGGGGTCAAGCTATTTTCTAAAGCACCTGTAGGCCAGACAAGGAATAATGGATGGAAACTGAACCAGGAGAGATTTAACCTGGAAATAAGGAGGAATTTTCTGACAGTGAGAACAATCAATCAATGGAACAGAAGTTGCCTTCAAAAGTTGTGGGAGCTTCATCACTGGAAGCTTTCAAGAAGAGATTGGACTGCCATCTGTCAGAAATGGTGTAGGGTCTCCTGCTTGGGCAGGGGGTTGAACTAGATGACCTACAAGGTCCCTTCCAACTCTGATTATCTGTTATCTGTTAGGTGTAGGAGGGGAACTCAGTAATGGGTTGAAGTTAATACAGCAATTCTCACGTGAATGCTACATAAAAGGCCAAATTGCCCAAGATTCGTTGCTGTCGTGTAACAAATGCTGATGCTAAACAAATGCTAAAACACTCTTTATCCATTATAAATAATTTATGCATGCGCACTGCACATGTTTAGTTTGGGGACCGTATGTTAATCATCTCAAGTCATGTACAAATCACATTCCTTATGGTGATATATGGTGGTACACAAGTGGAAGGGCAGAGTTACAACAAAGCCCCTGAACCCACCAAACACTATTTCCATTGCTAAACTGAAAGGCAAAGCATATTTCGTCTGCTCTTTTTATTTATTTTTCACAAATTGGTCATGTCTACCACCCCCTCTCCATTATTTCCATCTTAAAATCTTTTAACCGACGTTACGCAAAGCCAATAAATATCACAAATGCACTTAGCAGACTTCAAATGAAACAGTTTCTCCCTTTCTTCTCATGTAGTGTCTTTAAGAGATTAATTTATGCTCTGAAACGTAGCAGTTGGAGCATTTTTTTTTTTGGATATAAATTCCAGGCGGAATACTTTTCCAATTAATGCTAGTAAATTTGAATGCAGTTTTCATGGAGACTGGCATGGAATTACTCAGGTTTTAGTATTTTCTTCAGGGGTCTGAAAAAAATAACCAGAATTTCTTTTCTTTTTTCTTTTCTTTTCTTTTCTTTTCTTTTCTCTCCTCTCTCTTTCTGTGTGTGTATGTATGTCTTTGTCTCTCTCTTTCTCTCTCTGCTGTCTCTGTCTGTCTGTCTCTCACAGGAGGGGAAAGAGAGAGAGAGAGACAGACAGACAGACAGAGAGATGGACAGACAGACAGACAGACAGACAGACAGACAGACACAAAACATGTTCTCTGGAACTTGAAAGTTAACATACAGTTGAGTGTCTAGACTGCTTTCTTCCCAAACAAACTAAGCAATTGTGCCAAGGATTAAGCAAGAGGACCCTAAACTGTCCAATATGATAGATCTTGCATTCATTCAGATGACACCAAAATATGACACATACATGCCTATCCTATCCAATTGTTTTATAGTTTTCTTGTCATCTGTTTGGTACAGAGCACAGTTACTAGTTTCCCTATCCACTACAGGAAAATCAAATTGTTCCACCTTACATTTTACTGAACGATATTATACTGTATTAACGTGCAATCATATAGACTCCAAAAATCTCAAAAGTCTTTTGCTTTGGAGCAGGAGGGAAGGGAAGGGGAGGGGAGGGATTTAAAGGTAGACTTTTTTTTTAAAGTAAAAATTTAGAGGACAGACAGAAAAGAGTGTCTTATCTTTGTCCTACAGAATACACCAGGCTTTCAGCTTCTATTAGACCATTTCCCCAGGGACAAAGAGCAGGAGGCCAAACCAGAATATCTATAGAGATTGGCTAAAAATGCAGATCTCTTCCTCCTGCCAACCAGCTGAAGCAGTAGCCAATTTCCATAGTCACGCTGGAGCTGAGCGTTACTGGAGCCCTGGGACTGCGGCCAAAAAAATAACGCCTAGGTGTTAAGCTTGCTCTTGCAACGTATATCAGCATACGTGACTTTATCCGTAATGTCTCTTGGCCTCATCCAGGGATACCAACCAGGAGAAGGAGAATGCAAGGATGCAGATGACATCATACTGGGAAGAAAATGCAGCTAGCTTTTAACAGCCCTCGTTGTTCCGCGGCTACTCCGAGTCTCGGTTAATACAGAATCCTGCTCTTCTATAAAAGGCAAGCTTAAAAGACATGATATTTGTGTCCTGCAGTGACCCTGTCTGTACCTTCTTCAATGCTGGTCCTCTTTGCGTCTTTCCCTTCGATGCCACGACTACCTAGTCCTGTCCCAATCGGGAGAATCTCAGCCGCTCTCTTCTGAGTTGCTAAAACTGCTCTGCAAAGCGAACCAAACTTAACTACCCCCGTAGTACAGAGGGGAGGCTGAAGACTGCCGTGTGAATTTAAAAAGCAATGTGATTTGTAAGGAAGATCCCAAGATCTGGGGCGCTTACAACTGTTATGACACGCGGCTGCGTTTCATCAAGGTTGCAACAGGAACACCCTGTTTATTGATCTAAGCAGTTTTGCACGCCCTGCCTGGAAAGATAAGCAGGAATAGGAAAAAGCATTCTCACTTACCATCAGATCGGGCCCATAGAACTGGACCATGGAAGTATCGGCCACCAGCAGGGTCTCCACATAATGAGCCTGGGAGGTGAACCTTTTCTCTCTGTTGAAGGGGGTGCTGTTGGGATCCAGCTGGGCTTCCCCTCCTCGCCTGTCCTTGGCAGCTTCTTTGGAAGAGCTTCTCCACTGGAGCTGATGAACCTGCATCAGGGGATCTCGGCTGCCACGGTTTTGGGGCTGGATGACGTACTTGTCTCCATCCACAAAGAAGGAGCCATGGATGCCCTCACACAAGCTGACAGCCACTAGGGAGTTGGGTTGTGAGTTGACAGTCCCTGAGTAGAAGCACTTGCTGAGCTTCACCTCCTCCTCCTCCTCCTCCTCCTCCTTTTTCTCAGTCAAGAACCCAACAGGTTCTTTTCTACCAACATGTTGAATCTTCAGCCCAGGAGCCAAGAAGCTGGCATCGGGTTCCAGCTGCAGCAGGAGCACTTTCCCAAAGGCCACGATGGAGAAGGAAACCGGTCTTCCCCTGACCCAAGGCATATCTCCCCAGACGGGCACCACCTCCTGAACACTGTCCCTATTGTGGAGAGATAATGCCCAGGCATTTTGAAACAGCAGAACCGGGAAGAGCGAAAAGAGAGCTGCCGCCAACCAGCTAGGGCGGGATTGCTGCTGAAGAGGAAGTGGCATAGATGCTAGAAGCTGGAGAAGGAGGAGAAGACAAGTTGAGAGACAGACAGACACACACAGAGAGAGATGGAGAATCACCGGAGAAGCAAATGCCCAACTGGCTTTGAGATAGGGTGCAATCCTGCAAAGCGTAAGACTAGGAAATGAAGGAGAAAGGCAGAAGGAGACAAAGGTTGGAGAAGGCAAAAAAAACCACAAGGGATCAGCTGAGTTTGCAGCAAAGTAGCCCAGGGTGCAAAGGGTGAAAAATCCTTTTTCTGCCCCAACCGTGATTTCTTCACCAGCTCAACTTCCTTGGGGCCTCCTGGATTTTTGCAAAGCAGCTGTCACAAAACCAGACAAAAAACAGCAGCACCAGCAAGTCAACTTGTCCAGTTGGGAAAAGCACAGAGAGACGAAAGAGTCTTGGGGGAAATTCTAATTTCTCTCTCTCTCTCTCTCTCTTTCTCTTTGGGTTTACCTCCCCTCCCACTTTTCCTTCCTTGGACGAGGACTTTCTCTCCCTGAGTAGCTCCTTGCAGAGCAAGCTGCAAAGAGCTCCGGTATTTATACTTTCTTTCCTCTGCTTTGACATAAGAGGTTTATTTTTGATCTCGCTCACTATTCTGCATTCTCCTCCCCAGGGAGCAAAGAGCTGGAGGAGGAGAATTGGGGAGGGGGGAGAGGAAAAGGGGGGAAAAGAGGGTGGTGGTGGAGTTTTGGGATGGAACTTGAGGCCAATCAGGATCCAGGAAGATCCGCCTCCCCAGATGAAGTGTCAGCTCAAACATTTCTCTCCCTCCCTCCCTCTCCAACCCCAAACTCTTTTATTCTCTCTTGGTTAACTCTTTCTCGGCTCCAGATCGATCTCAGCAGCCAGGAAAAAATGCACCCATCGACTTATTTGAAATTCCACATAGGAAGGCAGTCCTCTCAACTTTCCTCTCCTTTGCACAGATTCTGTTTTTGCCTTAAAAACCACCCCTAGTGGAAGGTGGGATGTTGTTTCTCCCAGCTCCAGGTGGAAAAAGATCTGCCCAAGAGGAATTTCCAAATCAGAGGAGAATGGAAGCATCCTTTTTCCTCTCCCACGTACATTGCTGGCATCAATACCCAAAGTTGCTGTCAAGGCGTAACTAAAGCCAGGAATTTCATCTTGACAATTTCAATTGGGGTAGCCAAGATTTCTGGGGAATGGGTAGAAATGGCATGAAATGTAATAAGGTCTCCAGTTCTTCTTCATCAATTGTTTTGAACAGGGGTGGAGTGTGTGTGTGTGTGTAGTTTTCTCTTTGTCACGTTTTCTCATTTTGGTTGTATTATTCAGAACTTATTTGTCTCTTATGTTCTTTGCTGGTGCATAGTGATCTCTTATCTTAGATGTAATAATAAAACGTCTTGCAGGACACCAGGCATTAGAAATAGAAGTCAACTTCCTCCTTCCCCTCTTTTGTTGATCCACTACCAAACTTCATCTTGGAGAAAACCTCCTTCCAACTCTATTATTCTATGTTCGATCCTTCTCAAATTGTCCATTGCATGTAATTCTTCCTCTCCTATTTTTGATCCTGGTGACTGATACGCTTTGCTGTAAGATGCTTCCTTCCTCAAAGAACATGACACCTATTTCTCAAATGTATGTTCTCGGACTTTTACCCTGTTTCTTAAGCACATTCTTCGAATTCCAGTTACAAATAGAGCAAACAACTGCATTTCCATAATTTCATCTCCATTGATAAAAATAAATAAAATCAGGAGTTACGTGAATTCCAGACTTCCAGTCTGTCCTTTTCAAATAATCACAGGAAGGTGTCTGAAGCAATAAGCAAATGATGGAATGTGGAGATATATCAAAAAAGCATCTTCAACTTTCTTCTAAAAAAAATATGAGTGTCTCAAACATACTGTATATGACGTACTTGAATAATCACCTGTCTCCCATAGCATCTGCCTGGCTGATTCGATCTGGCACAGTTGGTGTTCTCGGGGTTCCTTTTGATTAAACAATGTCATTTATTGGGAAACTTTTCTGCCCTCTGGAATGAATTTCTCCCAAGATTTAAGTGACTCACACTCAGCTTTTGTTTAGAAGTGCTGGTGAGGGACAGTGGAACTTCTTTTAAACTGTGTAGGTTGTTTTCCATTCAGTCTTTGTCATCCTTGCTATGTTTACTCTTTACTCCTCCTCCTCCTCCTCCTCCTCCTCCTCCTCCTCCTC